GGCTGATGGTGCGTTATTGTATGCGAACTCGATAAGTGGCAGCTGCTGTTCCCACGTATTCGGGTCGTCGCACGTGGCTCGAATCAGCTGCTCCATGGTCTGATTTGTTCGTTCCGTCTGTCCGTCGGTTTCGGGGTGATAGGATGAACTGAACTGTAAGCGTGTGCCGAACTGCTGCCACAGGTTCCGCCAGAAGTTGCTGGTAAATTTCGTGTCCCTGTCGCTGATGATCGACGCGGGTATCCCGTGCAGTCGTACGACGGTGGAGATGAATAGTCGGGCGGTTTCTTCGGCTGTGATGGATTTCCTGCATGCTGCGAAATGAGCCATTTTCGTTAGTCGATCGACGACGACCAGGATCGCGTCATTCCCACTCGCCCCAGCTGGTAACCCCGTGACGAAGTCCATCGTCACCTGCTGCCAAGCACGCTCTGGAGGCGGGATGGGTTGTAATTGCCCCGCTGGTCGCTTCCTGCTTGACTTCATGAGCTGGCAAGTGGGACACGATGCCACATGTCGTTGCACATCGGTCAACATTTCTGGCCAGTAGTAGTACCGCTGCAGCTGCTGCCGTGTTTTTTCTACCCCGAAATGTCCCGAGGTAACTCCATCGTGTGCTTCCTGTAACAGTAGTTCCCGCAGTAGCGTGTATCCCGGTACCCAGATGCGGTCGGTTCCAGTTTTTACGTAATAGACTCCTTTTGCCGCTGCGAATTGCTGTGAGTTGCCTCCTGTAAAGAACGAGTCTGTTTGATATCCGTGGGTAAATAGGCCGGTAAGCAGTGGGCTGGTCTGGGCGAGTAGTATCGCGTGGATCTGGGCAGTGGGGCGGGTCAGTGCGTCGGCGATATTCGATGCTCCTTTTTTGTATGTGACCGTATAGTGAAAATTCGACTCGAGGAAATCGAGCCATCGAATCTGTCGTGGGTTGAGGTGGGGCTGTGCGCGGAGGTACTGTAGAGATCGGTGGTCTGTCCGTACTGTCACGTCTGCGCCAGTCAAGTAGCAGCGCCAAACTTTGAATGCATGCACGATCGCGAGCATTTCGCGGTCGTGTATCGGGTAATTTCGCTCAGGCGGATGTAGTTTGCGTGATTCGTAGGCGATGGGTTGGAGGCCGTTGCCGAAGTCCTGTAACAGTACAGCTCCGATGGCGATGTCACTTGCGTCGGTAACCACTTCGAAAGGGCGGTGGGGATCAGCGATACGTAGAACGGGTGGTGAACAGAGGACGTTTTTTAGGGCAGAGAAGGCAGCATGCTCTTTCTCCCCCCACGTAAAAGCGACCCCCTTACGCAGTAAATCAGTTAGTGGGGCTGTTAAACGTGCCATGTCGGGCACGAACCGTCGAACGTAATTAACAAACCCTAAAAAACTCTGCAGTTCCGTGATGTTTGTCGGGGGGCGCCACGCTTTTACCGTATCCAGCTTCTTTGGGTCGATCTCAACCCCAGCCTCGGAAATGACGTGACCTAAAAACTCTAGCCTATCCCTAAAAAACTCGCACTTGGAGCCCTTGGTGAGCAGCCGATGTTCCTCTAAAACCTTAAAAACTGCTTCGAGATCTGCTAAGTGTTGCTGCTTATCCCGACTGTAAACGAGGATATCGTCGAGGTAAACGATCACGCATCTATCTAAAAGTGGTCTAAACGCCTCGTTCATGGTCATCTGAAAAGTCGCAGGCGCGTTCGTCAATCCGAAAGGCATTACTGTATACTCGAATGACCCGTACCTAGTCCTAAATGCTGTTTTTGCGCAGTCCGATGGTTCGACCCGAATCTGATGGTAACCTCCCCGTAAATCTATTTTCGAAAAGACACGTGCTGTTCGCAGTTGGTCAATGAGTTCGTCGGCGCGGGGGATGGGGTATCGCGATTTGATTGTTACTCGGTTAAGCGCTCGGTAGTCGATGCACATGCGAAAACCTCCGTCTTTTTTCGGTGTGAACAGTATGGGTGCGGCGAACGGTGACGAGCTCGGTCGAATAAACTGCTTCTCTAACAGGTAATCTAACTGCTTCCTTAACTCGTCGAGCTCGGGCTGTGTCAGTCGAAATTGCCGCTGTACTGTTGGCTGTGCCCCCGGTTCTAGCTCGATCCTATGGTCGTGCACTCGCTGAGGTGGCAGTCCCTGTGGTAAATCATCCGGAAATATCCCCGGGAACCGTTTCAGTAGTGCTTGTAATTCGGTCGGTACGGCTGCTAGCAGTTTCTGAAAATCGTTCTGCTGCTCGTCTTTTTCTACCACTGCGATATCCACTGCGTACACGTCAGCTCCAGCAGCGACAGCTCGTTTCATCGCGATGGCGTTGACCTGGACTGTCGAAGATTCGGGTGGCCGCCAGCGAGGTAGGACGACCCAGTTACCGCTACTTCGCACTGTGCAGCTCCCCGTCGTCCAGTCGATCCGTGGGTTGTACCGTCGCAGCCAATCACGTCCCAGTAAAATGTCGTGCCCATCCAGCGTCGTTGCGAGCATTTCCTGTGTAAACCCGAAGTTTCCCCCGCAGCGGACTTTTACTCGCTCCACTTTTTCTCGTATGGCCAATGGCGTGCCTTCGACTAAGCGTGCATCTATCTCAGGTAAACATCGGTTAAGTGTTAACTGTAATTTCCGTGCGGTTGCAGTATTAACTAAGCTGTGACTTGCTCCTCCGTCAATGAAGATTTTCACTGCTGCTCCCTGTATTTTCCCGTAGATCAGTACCGGGCAATCCGTCGCTGTACCCTCCTTATTCATCCGAGCCCGATCGATGGCGTGAATCGGTACTGTGACTCGGTGAGGGTCGGTGTGGTTGGGCGAGCAGGCAGTCTCGTCAGTAGTTGGCCCAACTTCTACTGACTGCTGGCGTTTCCCTGCCTCTGAGACTCCTTCCCCTGCTCTGCTCCTCGACGCCTCAGCTCCTCTGGACATTCGCTCTTGCGATGGCCCGGCCGGTTGCAAGCAAAGCAGCGCCCTCTAAATGGCGTGGCAGCTGCATTCGTTGCGACGGCATGTACAGTGGCGTGCTCGATCGGTCCCCGAGGGCGATGTCCGAAATAGGACCCCGGTCTCGGTCGGCGTAGGATATCGATTTTCTCGGCGAGCGCGAGGATTTCGTTGAAATTCGATAGCCCGCGTAGCATTATCTCGTGCGATATGTCCGGCTTCAGCCCTCCGACGTAACGGTCCACCCGCTCCGCCTCGTGCATGTAGCCGACCTGTTCGCAAAGTGCGAGAAAACCGCTGGTGTAGTCTTGAACCGACCCGAGCTGGCGCCAAGTGCGCAGTTTCTGACGCGCCGAAATCGAAGCCGCGATCGGCTCAAAACGCGCCCGAAGCCCTGCGCACCACGCATCCCACGTGCTGTATTGGGCTGTTTCGCAGAACGAACTCCAGGTGACAGCTGGACCCGAGGGCCCTTCCTCGTGCGGCGGTGGCTCGTAGGCGCGTGGCGACGTCACGATGACTCGCCACCAGTCCATGGCGGGGCCCCTGAGTAGTGAAACCGCATACCGAATCTTGGCGGCGTCCGACTCGACGTAGTTGGCGTCGAAAAACACATTCATCGTGAAGACCCATGATTGAACTGTCGGGCCGCCGCGTTGGCTTGGGTCGAAGCAGGGCGGGCGTTGCGGCTTGAGTGGCATTGGGGCCATCATGGCGTTTTCACCACTTGTCGTCGCAAACTCCACGTGCCGACGGGCTTCTCGGGGCTCCCGTGGGCTTAGCGTGCTCCTGTTCCCTCCCATGCCGGGCATCGGTTGGGCTGCGCCGTCACTGGCTGCGCCTGAGCGCTGTCCCGTGCTGTTGTGTTGCGTCGGTGTGCCGGATGAAATGATAATCGGCTCCTCCGAATGTACAGAGACATTGGTTGGTGCGTGGGATGTTGTCGGAGCATTCACCGCTGACTGTTGACGGGCGGAGTCACGTTCCGCCGTGAGCGTCGCGATTTCAAGCGCCGAATCCTCCAATTGTCGCACGAGACGATCGAGTTGCTCCTGCGTCAACGTGGCGAGATTGAGGTCGGCCATGGCGGGGGTGTCGGGCAAGCTCAGCGAGAGCCTCGGTCGTGGCCGTGCGTGCTTGCGAGAGAGCACTTCGAGCGGCGGTGCTGTGTCGCTGAGAGACGTCTACCCCCCCCAAAAATTGAGATAGTGGGAAGCGAAGGTGTGGATGCGGTCCGAGATGAGATCGTAGGCTCTGAATACCAAGTGTTACGTGTGCAATTGAGTGAACGAACGAGAATTGCACTATCGAAGCAAAAGTACAATGAGCGAAGGCATGAGCGAAGGATTATATAGCGAAACAATAGTGGTAACGGTAATGGACTGTGGTTGTCGCGCGTCGAGCCTGAGACTGAGGTTGGGAAAGTGTCGAAGCGTAGGCCCGGAGCGCGGGTTACCAGCCGAGCCGTGAGGTCGGGATGCAATGTGCGAAAAAGGCGGGATGATGAATGATGCGATGGTCGCGAGTGGTAACGGTGCTGACTGAGGTGCTACAGTGACGTACGCGCTGGGCAGGGACGCGAAGTAAGGAAAAGGGAATTTCCTTACAATGTGCAATCTTATGCCACGATACGTGTTATGATCAGGAGCTCTTAGTAGCTCAGTGAATATATAAATACTTTACTAGATGAACCGGACATCTATATTTCACTGAAAAATTACATCCGTTATAGATCTTTAATTGCCCTCCCCCTGTCTTCCTAATGCTTGGGAAAGAAGTTCAGCCTTTTCTGCTTGAAGCACCTCAACCTTAGCCTTGAGTGCTTGGATATAAGTCAAAGTCTCACAAAGAAGGGTTTCCGTCGTCACCCGTGTGTTACACTGGGGTATGGCCCTCTTCAGCTGTTCTAGCTTCAGGCTGCACATTCACCCAAACACGCACCACCAATAAGAGACAGGTTTGAGACGATAAGGAATCATGAATTTACAATAAGCAGACTCCTGTATGCAACAAACAACAAGCCAAGTGATTTATTATGTTGCTCTGGTCAGAGTGAGCTCCACAAAGCTTACCTAATTCCATTTCGTCTCTTCCTCTCTGCAACAGTCCGCGGCCGGGACGACTTCCCCCCCGCTTCCTGCGCGTCCAAGCCCTCGTCCTGCTCCCCTCCAGATCCCCCCGCGCTTCCAGGCCCGCTCAACCCTCCAGCACGTCCCTCCCCAGGGGAACCCGCGCCGGACGGGACGCGACGATCCCCCGCGCCCATCCATCCCCCGCCTGGGACGTCGTCCGGAGACGGAGTGGCGGGTAGCGCTGCGCCACCAGCTTGATGGGGGGACTGGAGGGCACGGGGCGCGGTTTTGTGCGCGGTATTGCCGGGAGGGACGGTCGCCAACCAATGCGGGGAGGCAGAAGCAGCGCCACCAGGGGGAAAGGCGAAGACGGGGCGCGGCGCGGCGGGGGGCGGAGGCGGGGCCGCGGTGTCTAGATTGCTGTTCTCCCCCGAACTCGCGGGAGTTCGCGCGCGAGGAAGCTGCACGTGCAGGGTTAAAAAGACAGCCAAAGGGACAAGATCAGACGGAGCTGCATGCGGCGACGCGAACGGGAGGGGAGGTGTCGAATTGAGAAGAGCGCGTCGATCGACACAGGATGACATCGCAAAACCTCTTAAGAGGTTCGAGACAGAACATCTGACGACACTTGAAAACAGTTGAAAACGCCTGAAGACGAAGGACTCGAATAAGCGACGATACGGACGCTTCAAACACGAACCATAGCTCGAGTGATTTTGCAATATAAGAATCGCACCTCATCTGCTCTCTTCCGCTTCGCTGGCTTATTAGCGCCGACTTCAACCGCCGCCGCCCCGCCGCCGCCCAGCGACAAGCCTACGCTGAGGCGCAGGTCGGGCTCAGTGGCGCGCGCCGAAGCTCCGCCGCGAGGGAGTTCCGCGTCGTTCCCGGGACATGCGGGCGGCGCGGAAGGGAAGAGCTGTAGCGAGACACCGACTTGCTGAGGGTCTTCAAATCCCGCAAGTTGTGGCGGCGGATGAGTTTGCTGCTGCAGCTGAAGCTGAAGCAGAAGCTGCTGCTGCTGCTGCTGTAGTTGCTGTTGTTGCATGTGCTGGATAAGCGCGGACGTCAACGCTTGCTGCTGAATCGTCGAAAGAGATCCGCCGTGATGGTTAGCGGCGACGACAACTGCCGCGGGATTAGCAGGCTGCTGCGCGTCGTTCATCGCGAGAAACGGAGATAACGGCCTTCCAGCCATCACACTATTGACCAGGTTGGTCGTCAAAAGCAGCCGCACTCGATACGATTGCCCAAGCAGGTTTCTGGTCACTCAAGTGACTCCCAAAATAAACCAACACTCTCGAGCTGGAGCACTCTGGAATTCGACTAAGGAATATTGCTGTGGAATCTTGACTCATGAAGAAGCGTTTGGTTTGGGATGGGAAGAGGGGATTGCATTGCATGGGGTGGGTGGGTCGAATAGGTGAGGGCAGGCAGGCAAGCAGGCAGGCAGGCAGTCAGCCAGGCAGTGATAAACTCAACTCAACTGAACCGTCTTTGTCGTTAGCCACTTGATGGAGGGACCATGGCACATGTGGGACTCGAGGAACTCCTCCGATTGGCTCACACGCACACCGCAAACCAAGGCAAGAAACGTCCGTCTGTCGTTTTGCTCGACTCGAATCGAGGTGCGACGTCCTTCCTTCCCACTGGCATGCCACAGGACATTCGTGTGTGTGTGGTCGGGCTCGGCCTCAGCCTCGGCTTCGGGAGACGTACATGTCACTTGCCTTCTCTTCCCGTCCATCCATACCATTCATGGAGAGATTTGCTCAAAACCCTTGTTTAAAGATTCGTTTTTGCACACGTGGCTACCATTCGCTCGAGTAGTTCTCAAATTCAGTGATAATTGCTCGAGTGGCCTCGCCAGGGGATTCTCAACGTCTTTTTTAGAAGGCACATTACCCTTCATGTGTATTTATCATCGAAGCTTTTGTATTGGCTATTGCGCGATCTTTTTATATCCGAAATTTATGTTCGTGGCCCTATATGACCGCGCATGATTGGTCAATTATATGCGCGGTGCCTTTTTTTGAAATGCGCGTCCAATCAGGCGCGGTCATATAGGGTCATGAACATAAGTTTTGGATAATGAAGATCGCGCAATCACCAGTACATAAGTTTCGAGGATAGAAACCCGTGTAGGGCAATGTGCCGGTTTAAAAAAAAAGCCAGTGGAAATCCCCTGGCAAGGCCACTCGAGCAATTGTCACTGAATTCGAGAGCCACGCGAGAAACTGGTGGCCGCGTGGGCAACGCTGAATCTCCAAACATGGGCTTGGAGCAATTCTCTCCCATTCATGACTGGCCCCTGATTCACAAAGCCACTGGGGCACGACAAACCAGGCAGAAATCGAGGTTCGGAAAAGGGAGTTCTGTGCATGCAATGCCACATGGGCCAAGCCTGAGATTAGGCTGGGCAGACTTCGATACAGCAATGCACGAGGTTGCCGAGTTTCGCCTTTGGAGTTGTGGCTTTGGCTTTGGTGCATCTTGAAACTTTGCTTCATCACTGGATTGCACTGCACCAAGATCCTTCAACACCCACAAAAGAAAAATACGATTTGTTCACAAAAACCAAGGTAATCTCCCTTTTGAACACAAATCAACTGTATTCTGGACGAGGAAACTGCTGCAGCAAGCACCGAAGCGATGCTGAATGAACAGAACAGCTGCCCGCAACACGAAAACGCGTGGCCTGACAGGCACATCTGCCCAATGATTGTCTCCAAACGCGTGAGTTTTTCATTCATAAAAATGTTTATGTAATTGCGCGATTATAGTCACAGAGGAAGTATTAGTCCCACAGGAAGAATACAGTTCTGTAGAAAACACACACCACCAGGAAGAATATCGCGAGCGTCCTGATCCGCTCTGCGGTGAGAGTTAAGAGCTTGATCTTTATTATATTGACATATATCGAATAATTCATAAAGTTCTGAACAATCTGGAGCACCATATTTTACCACTGCCCTAACGTCTGCCACCGTACAGTACCATCCATAACACAACCACTGTCAATCCATTCCATACCCAACTCCGCCCGCCCTCCTACCCGTCTCAACCTACCCAATCCCACTCAAACTGAGACCGACCCACCTCAGCCCACCGCAAATTGCCAGGAGTTGCTTGCTGCGTTACCCATACAGTACACCATGCAACCCTCCCTGACGCGAACAGCACAGTGAGGCGGTGACTGGTGGTGTGTCCAGCGACGTGAGCCCATGCTTGGGGGGGCACACACGTGAGCCAAAGGAGTACTTCCAACCCAGCCCCGCAAACGAACTCCATTCCGTCGGTATGTGTCATAAAAAAAGCACACGCTGATGGGGTCTGTACTCTAGCCATCCAAAGGGTCCTCCTGCTTCTCACGAGCCATCCACTAAACGGAACCATACTGATACACCCAATTGATAGGGAAAGTTTTCGCTAACCTCGTTCCCCCACGATGTACCCCCCGCCAGCACGTGGATTTGGGACAATCCACCAAGATAGATGCTCCTGAAAAAACTGTTCGGTGTCCAAAGCAGCATTGCCCTTCCATCCAATGGAATGGAAGCACCTGCGGCAAACCCCGAATGAGTCGCACGTGCTGGTCCTACATTTTCACACGTCGTATCGACACGATCTGGCCTGGATCAATTATGGAGAGGATACTTCAGCACAATGAGGACGCGTCACCTGAAGCGGATCGATCGGCTGGAAGATCGGTTTTGCGCCCGGGGTTTAGCACTGTAGCGTCGTAATCCACAAGGTAACAAAGTCTCGCCAGGGTTAACGAATGTACAGTAAAAATGTCCCCACGAACCTGTCACCTACGGGAATTTGGTTGGCCCAGTGTGGAATTTCCGCCACAAGTGACAGTCAAGATCGATCGTCTTCGCTTGCAGTTGCATTGTAACTGCACGACGTCGCAAACAGTAAGTTTTGTTTAGCGAAAATTGCGCACGACAACGGAGCTGTTTTCGCAGGTTGGGTGTACCACATGTATATCGGTGCGCCGTAGTTGCGCAGTCATGGGCACCGATCTCTGCCAAGCCTGGGCTTGAAATGACGATTGGTGCGGATCGGCCGATCTTCGGCCGATCCGCTTCAGGTGACGCGTCCTGAGGTTCCAATTCATTATGCGTGAAATATTTTCGATCTTATTGGTCCGGACGACGAATTGCGTCCGTGCGATGTCTCCTGCGTCGACGTGTGACCTTACGTCGCATTCTTCGTACGCATCCGAACATACGTCCTACTACGTCTAAACTTTCGCATGCCGCGCCTTTAATAATGCGGTCTACATTGTAAAAGTGATTTTCTGGGTCTAATCTAAGTGCACACCCTTTGGCTCAATATGATTCGAGGGCGAATTGAGTTTCGACCTCAAACACCAGCAATCAGCATAACAAGCAGGCATAGTAATAGTTCACAATGATAAGCGAAGCTAGAGGCTATCACAGAGGGCAAGTGAAGAGGAGGAGGGACTATGAGAGGAGAGGACGTGGTGGGCGGCAGCTGAAGCTGCCGGCACACGGCGCAACTGGAGCAACTGGCACACGGGCAACTGGAGCAACTGGCACAATGGCAACTGGAGCAACTGGCACACGGACAACTGGAGCAACTGGCTCCGCGGCTAGATGGGCGGCAGGAGCAACTGGCTCACGGGCGACTGGAGCAACGGGCTCACAGGCGACTGGAGCGACGGGCTCACGCGCGACTGGCGCAACGGTCTCACGGGCAACTGGAGCTGCTGGCTTCACGGCGGCCACCCCCCTTCAACCTCCCCCACTGTCCCAAAACTCCCGTTCACACACTCCCTGCTGTTCCTCTAGCACTGCACCCATGACACCCCCCTAGCGCCACACCCGCGGCTCCCACACATCCACCCCCCTCAGCGGCAGCTGCAGCAGTGGGAGACGGAGTAGGAGGAGGAGCAGGGGACGGCTCACACACCCGTCACCACCATAATCGATGTTAAGATAGTAAGCAGAGTGAGGAGCCATAGCTAGGGTTAGCTAGCTAGGCAAGAGAGAAATGAAGAAAGGAGCGGTTTTACTAGCAGCAGTTGGGATACATATAGCAAACCCTAACAGGGTTGTGCTCACTATAGAGCACCCCACTACAGGCTAGATAATAACATTCGGACAATCGCCACCCCCAAACCCTAGCACAGGCAGCACGGGGCAGGAGAGCGTGCAGCAGCGGGGGCGGTGCTCGTGGTGAAGCGGGACGGCTGGGGCAGGCTGTACGGGCCGAGCACGAGCCTGGCGCGGGCCGTACGAGCCGCGCGCGGGCTGAATTGGCCGCGCGCGGGCCTGGCGCAGCCCGTACGAGCCGCGCGCGGGCCTGGCGCAGGCCGTACGAGCCGCGCGTGGGCTGTACAGGTCGCGCGCGGGCCTGGCGCAGCCCGTACGAGCCGCGCGCGGGCCTGGCGCAGGCTGTACGGGCCGCGCGCGGGCCTGGCGCAGGCCAT